TCCCTACAGCAGCTGCCTGTGAGCCAGACATCAGGAGAACTCAAGTGAGCATCCCAGGAAAGCCTGAATCCTCCCAGCCTCTGGCCACAGCAGCTGGCTCAGGCCCCAGTGCCCCTCCATACTCCACTCCAGCAGGGCCTCAGGAAAATGTAGAAAATGCGGGAAATAAGAAAAAGAGCCCAGCCGGTGTGCCTCAGTGATTGAGTGTGGACCCAGGCACCAAGAGGTTGCAGGTTGGATTCCCCGTCAGGGCACATGCCCAGTTGTGGTCTTGATACCCAGTAGGGGGCGTGCAGGAGGCAGCCAATTGATGTTTCTTTCTCCCTTCCTCTCTCTCTAAAATCAATAAAAATACACATTTAAAAAAAGAAAGAAATGTATTGTCCAGAACTTCACCGTCCCACGGAACCTTCCATCACTCAAGGTCCCCCTGAAGTCCCACCTGAGTTCCCTGGGGCACTGCTAGAGCAGTGGGGCCTCAGATTGGAGAGGGGCTCCTAACCCCCTGCCCCTCAAATACGGACTCAACTGGCATTCGAAGCCCTCCAGATGGGCCAGTCCAACATCATGCCTGGCAGAGCCAGCCACCCTCTCCCCAGGTCTAGGGCGGCCTGGGACTTGCCACATATTCCCCTTCCATGCCTGTATCAGTTGCCCCAGACCCCGGGATCCTGGCAGGTCCCACCCACCCAGCCTGCAGCAGGCAGATTCCCTGAGCAACCCACCTCCCCAGCTCTCCCTCCTGGTTTCACTTTCTATTCCTGTAAATAGCGAGGCATGGCCATGGTGTGAGGAAGCGGAGAAGCCAGCAGACAGGAAGTACTGTGTGGTCCTGTGCTCTCATGCACTAAGCTCTGGCCCCGAGGCTTGGAGTGTGGGATGTTCAGGGGCCAGCGGAGTCAGGCAGGGTCTCATCATTCAGGCACAGGTGTTTGGCCCTGCTGTGCACCCCCACTGACTGACCAGGACCAGGACCTGCCACACCCACAGTCACCCAGCAAAACGGCCAATGGCCCCATCCACTGCCTACTATGCTCAGAGGGAGAAGAGGACAGCGACTGGGGTGCTGAGCATCGGGGAGGTGAGGGTTCTGCGTGGGAGTGACTGTGCCCTGCTGAGGACCTGAGGAGGATGGCTGCTGGAGGGAGCAGGACCTCACCACCCCAATGTGTCTTTGCCCTGACGATTATTTTAGGCTGATTACCTTTCAAAAACAAAAGACCCAGGATGGGCCTTTTACCTCCCCCTGAACAGCCTAAAAGAATTTAGACTGAGGGCCTGGTCCAGGCCAAGCAGGTGCAGTGTGGCATTTACAGGTTGGGTCAGGTTTGGGGAAGGGGTGGAGCCAGCAGGGCCTGCACCACATCCTGTTGGGGTCCCAGTGGGGAAGGGGTGGAGCCAGCAGGGCCTGCACCACATCCTGTTGGGCTCCTACCTTCTCTGCAGACCCAGCAAACATCTGTGCCAGCAGTTGCTCATTCATCTTCCTGTGAATTGTTTTTCATGTGCCTGACTGGGAATCAAACTGTGACCTGGTTCACAGGTCAACGCTCAACCCCTGAGCCATGCCGGCTGGGCAGGCTTTGGTTTTATTTTGTTGAATCGCTGAAGCCCCAGAGACCCCTTCCCTCCCAAGGTCCCCACCCACCCAAGTAGATGTTCCAGTGAGCAGGGGTGCGGAGCCTGGTGGACGGGAGGTCCCACCTGGACCCCAGGCACTCGGCCACGCCATAGTCCCAAATCTAGACAGCAAGGAATCAAGGAGGGAGTGGACACTTGGCTGACCACCTAGGGACAATGGTTCTGTGACCCTCAAGGGCCCTTGGGTCTGACTGTCACCCAGATCTCCTCCCCAGGGGTTGGATGCAGAACAAAATCAACAAAGCAAAACCCACAATATGAAGCGCCTGCCCCTCTGTGCCCTTGAGCCCAAGCACAGCATCTGTAGCCAGTCAAGTGAAAAGAGAAGTTAACTAAAAGAGGATGTTCTGCCAAGAACAGACGGGGGCCTGCAAGCGGGCCACGTCAGAACAAAGTCTTGCACGCAAGATTTATTGTTCAGAGGCAGAATTTCCTTGAGGTGATAAATAGTCCATGAGGGCACGGAAAGTACTAGGGAGGGTACACAGCTGCAGGTTGAAGGGATCTTTGAACAATATAGGAAATTAATAGTTTAATGTATAACTTAGCTCAGATGATCTCATAGGCATGCCTGTTTGTCAGTGTTACTTGCTGTACTCCCCAATAAAAGCCATGAGAACTTTGGAGGATTTGCTATTTGCCTGAGCGAGCAGTAGCCCTCTGTCTCTGAAACTCATCCTGCACGCCGAGCTCATCTCAGCGTCACCGTTCACCTGCAGACCACCTGCATATGGCGCCTGGAACAGGGACCCGAAGGTGAGTTATCCGGACCGAGCAGGACCGAAAGGGATTTGGCCGAGCGAAAGTAAGCGAAACTTTTGGGAATCAGAAGACAGAGTCATGGGGTATCCCCCGTCATTACAGAGTCAATATATTGTTGTCTTGCAATCATTATTACAGAGCTCAGGGGTAAAAGTGAAGGATGAGGCTTTAAAAAAATTGTTTAAAGTAATTCAGCAGCACTGTCATTGGTTTCACCCAGAAGAAAAGCAGCAGTTGAATCTTAAGTTGTGGAAACAAGTGGGAAAGTCATTAAGGCGGGCTCATCAACAGGGAAATGCTATAGAGGCTGAAGTATGGGCTATTTTTAATTTAGTAACATTAGCTTTACAGCCTTTTCAGTCTGATTCTGAAGATTATGAAGAAATTCCTTTGAGGTCGCAAAGTGCTGCTCCAGGAACTGGGTGTTTAAGTCCTGAGCCTCTCCCTCCTGAGAGATTGCTACCCCCTGAGCCACTCCCGGGTGAGGTTGCTGAACCGGAGGAGTCAAGAAAGGAAATGAAAACTAGCTTTAAAAATAAGTTGAAAGGTTATGAAGCCATGGCCTCAACCAGCGATTCAGAGCTGGATGTTTCATCTTCCACTGAGACGGATGGTTGTTTTTACACTCGCCCTAAGTTAAGGAAAAGAAAGAGAATAAAAGTCCTCAGGAGTTGGCTGCGCCTCCGCCGGAAAAGTGAAAGTAAAAGGGCACTAGCCTTTAATCAGGCGTTAGTGGCTGAGCCTCCACCCCCTCCTGAGGACACAAAGAGCTGCAAATGCTCAATACCCTCAAGGGTACTTAGAGTTAACTCATCTACATGTAGAGTGAAGAGTGATAAAACTGTTAAAAGAATCAGTTGCTAATTACGGGGCTAATGTCCCATATACAGTAGGAATAATACAAGCTCTGGCTTCAGATTATTAATTAATTCCATATGATTGGGATGCTATAGCTAAGGCAGTATTAGCCCCAGGGCAATATCTGCAATTTAAATCCTGGTGGTGGGAAGAAGCCAGGAGAGTGGCGTTGATTAACGCCCAACAAAATCCTCCTGGACCTAATTTTGACCAGTTAACGGGAACTAGGGCACATATTAGCTTACAGCAACAAGTGCTGTTAGAGGATGCTGTTATGGCACAGATTAAAGCTTGTTGCTTAAAGGCTTGGTCAAAAATGGAGGAGGCCGGCACCCCGGCCCAATCATTTCCTAAGGTTATGCAAAAACTTCATGAACCCTACACTGATTTGCTTGCTAGATTGCACAAGGCAGTTCAAAGAACTGTGAATGGGGAGGAAGCCCAATCCCAACTGCCTTTGTCCTTAGAAGTTGGCCCTAACAGTTATAATGCTAATCTTCTAGCTGATGCATTGAAAACTGCCATTCCCCGTCCTGCTAAATGCTATGGATGTGGGAAAGTGGGACGTATGAAAAAAGGATTGTCGAAAGGCAAAGGTCCCACAAGGGAAAGCTAAACATGCTCCCGGATTATGCCCGATGTAAAAAGGGACAACAGTGGGCCAATGAATGCCTGTCTGTAAAAGATAAAGAAGGCAACCCATTAACACCCGTGAAGTCGGGAAACTAGACTCGGGGCTTAGCTCAGGGCCCCAAGAAAAACAATACGAGCAGAAAGAAGGGAAAAATAAAATGAAGGTCTCTGACTTATTTCATGCTACCGCTCAAAGTGCCGCAGTAGACATTCCAGCTCTTAATGATTTTACTATTTCTCCTGGAGATGGGGTACAGAAATACCCACCGGGGTTTATGTACCTTTACCTAAGGAAACAGTAGGATTACTACTAGTAAGAAGTAGTCTAACAACTAAAGGTTTACAAGTTCATCCTGGAGTTATTAATGCAGATTACGAAGGAGAAATATTAGTTATGATGTCTGCTACTGGTATTATACATATAAAGGCTAGAGAAAAAATGGCACAGTTATTATTACTTCCCTATAAACAAATAGGGCATACAGCACCAGTTAAGCGAACTGGGGGATTTGGTAGCACGGGGAAAAAGGTTTTTTAGCATACAGTCTTAGGAGACCAAAGACCTCAACTTACAGTAATGTTCCCGGAGGGAATAAAAATTATCAGCCTGGTGGATTCTGGGGTTGATGTGACTATAATTTCTATTTTGCACTGGCCTCAATCTTGGCCGGTACACAAGGTAAATGCAACCTTTACAGGTTTAGGGACCCTCACTGAGATTTTACAAAGCTCTAATGTACTTGAACGTCAGGGGCCTGAAGGACAAAAGGGCAAAATACAGCCATATGTCGCCTCCATTGCACTATCTTTGTGGGGAAGAGATCTTTTACAACAATGGGGGCTACAATTACTATACCTTCTTTACAGAAAGGCCATAGACAAATGATTTATCAAGCTGGTGCTGACACCAGTGTTCAGGACCAAAATTTATAGAGGGGGCCACTCCAAAGCGCTTCCCCTACCTTTAAAATGGAAAACAACTAAACCAGTATGGGTAGAGCAGTATCCCCTAACAAGAGAGAAGTTAGAAGCGCTCCAAATCATTATTAAAGAACAGATACAACTAGGGCATATTGAAACTAGCTCTAGTCCATGGAATTCCCATCTTTGTTATAAAGAAAAAATCAGGCAAATGGAGAATGCTTACTGATTTAAGACGGATTAATGAGATTATTGAGCCTATGGGACCTTTACAACCTGGAATTCCAAATCCAGCATTAATTACTAAAAATTAGCATCTGATAATTATTGATTTGAAAGACTGTTTTTATACAATCCCTTTACAACCTCAGGATTGTGACAAATTTGCTTTTACAGTTTCTTCATTAAATAACAGCCAGCCTAATCAGAGATATCAATGGAGAGTCCTCTCCCAGGGTATGTTAAATAGTCCTACTATGTGTCAAGCTTATGTTCATCAACCTTTACAAATACTAAGGCAGATGTTTGCTACAGGCATTTATTACCATTACATGAATTATATCTTATTAGCACATAAAGAAAAACCTGAGGTCGATAATATGTTACAGGAGGCTAGAAAATTGTTTAAGGAGTATGGACTCCAAATAACAGAGGAAAAAATTCAGCAAACAGAGCCCTGGTTATATCTAGGACAGAAAATTTCAGCAAGCATTATTGAACCTCAAAAAGTTCAGATTAGACGGGATAGTCGTAACACCTTAAATAATTTTCAGAAACAGGGGATATAAATTGGCTTCGACCATCTATTGGCATCCCTACCTATCAGTTAACTAATCTATTCCGAACATTAAAAGGATCTTCAGATCTCAATAGTCCTAGGCAATTGACTCCTGAAGCAGAAGCCAAATTACAATTAATTGAACAACAAATTCAAGCAGGACAGTTGGATAGTATACAATCATTACAAAATCTTAAGGTTTTAATTATTCATACCACACATTCTCCAACAAGAATTCTTATGCAGGATACTAACATAATTGAATGGGTATTTTTACCTCATAAATCCAGTAAAAAATTATCTACATATTTTCAGAAAATTTGTATCTTAATAGAAAAGGCAAGAATCCGTTTGCGACAATTATGTGGACAAGATCCAGATGAAATTATAATTCCCTTTAGTAAACAACAACAAGATATCCATTGGCAATTATCAGATGATTGGCAGCGAGCCTTTAGTGATTATACGGGAAAAATTCACAATATTTATCCTAAAGACAAAAGAATTCAGTTTTTAAAAAGTACTCAATGGATTTTACCAAAAATAATTTCTCCTACCCCCCTATCAGGAGCAGAAACTTATTTTACTGATACAAACAAACAAGGAATGGCTGGATACAGTAATTTTAAAAAAAATAAAGTAGTGCAATCTCCTTACCAATCAGTACAAAAGGCAGAATTGTTTGCAGTTGTCATGTTACTACAAGATAAAGACTCTATGTCTCTTAACATTATCACTGACTCTCAATATACGGAGTTTACTGAACAACACATGGAACGGCTACTATCTTTAATGATGGGTCTGACTTGCATGAACTATTTCTACAGCTTCAAATGCTCTTGCGCCTCGGGCATGATCCTATCTATATAACACACATTCGCGCTCACTCTTTACTACCTGGACCTTTATCTGCTGGGAATGCTAACATTGATCAATTGGTTGGTACAGTAACCTCCGCTCAAAGAGAGCATAATATGCATCATTCCAATGCTAGAGCATTGAAAGAAAAGCATCATATTACTTGGAGACAGGCTAAAAACATTTTAAAAACATGCCCTCACTGTGAGCCATTCCACACTGCTCACTTACCCATGGGGGTTAATCCCCGAGGAGAAACTGTTAATGCCCTTTGGCAAATGGATGTCACTCAGGTGCCAGAATTTGGCAAGCTTAAATTTGTTCACCATTCTATTGATACTTATTCTCATTTCTCGTGGGCATCGACGATGTCCTCTGAGAAAGCCGATGCTGTTATAACCCATTTACTGGAAGCCTTTGCTGTAATAGGCAAAACCTGAGCCATTAAAACTAACAATGGCTCGGCATATTTATCAGGTAAGTATCAGCATTTTTTCTAACAGTTTGATATTAAACATATTACAGGAATTCCTGGAAACAATACAGGTCAAGCAATTATTAAAAGACAGAACCGCACCTTAAGTAAATGCTGCAAAAACAAAAAGGGGGAGAGGAGCTGGTATTAGGCCAGACTCCCCGACGAAGATTATTAAGAGTTTTATTTACTTTAAATTTTTTAAATTTGAATACAGATGCAGTGTCAGCTGCTGAAATACATTGGGGACATACAAAGGAGGTCCCAGTAGAACAACCTGTCATGTACCAAGATGTTACCTACTAATCAATGGTGCCCGACTACTGTTTTAAGGTGGGGTCGAGGTTATGCTTATGTTTCCACAGGGACTAAGAAGTTCTGGATTCCTGATAAAAGAATCAAATTAAGGCGTGGCGAGCAAGAGGAAGTGTGACGAGGCGGGACTGGAAGACCCGTTTGCACAGTTAACCATCCAGGGAGGACAAACAAGTCGTGTACCATTGCCTCGCACCCAAAACACCCCTCCACCTACATGGGGACAGGTGAGGCACCTATGCCAGGAAGGGGAGCGTCTTGTGACTGCCCATGGAAGGCCCTGTAACTATACCAATATATACTAATGACTCTAATCGGATGCTTGGACCTTTTGATGATCGTGGGCCTTTGAAACCAGATGAAGAAGGAATAAGAATGAACAACTATTCAACAGGAGTTACCGGAATGCCTGTGTGCCTGGGTCTGGGTGATCATTGTTTGCAATTGGGTTATAAAGCCTGGTTGAGTGTGGCTAAAAACACCACTAATCCTTGAAAGGACCAGTTCAATGGAATCAAACTACTGGGGAAATATCTTGTTTTAATTGTACCTTATTAACTTGTGTAAATAACTCTGTACCTTTTAATCACAGTAGAGAGAGCTTGAATCTATTTCGAGCCAGAACAGGAGTATGGTTACCTGTACAGATGGATCGACGATGGCAGGAAAGTTCTCTAGCTGGAGCTCTCCAAGCCATTGAGGAAGGAATATTGAAGAGGTCAAAAAGGTTTATTGGCATGCTAATCGCTGTAATTCTTGGATTAATTGCTATAACAGCAACTGCTGCAGCAACTGGGGTAGCAGTACAGCGATCAGTCCAAACTGCTACTTTTGTTCAAGACTGGCATAAAGATTCAGAACAGTTATGGAATTCTCAACGGCATATTGATAGTGAAATCAATGAACAATTAGCTGATCTTGAACAATCAGTAGTTTTATTAGGGGACCAAATTGTTAGTTTGCAAAGGCGATTACAGTTAAAGTGTGATTGGAACCATACTGGTTTGTGTGTCACCCCTGTACCTTACAATGAGACAGCTTTCCCTTGGGATAAGGTTAAGAAACATTTATTAAACCATGGTAATTTAACACAAGAAATCATTGATCTCCAAGTTCATATTCATAACCTGAAGCTAAACAAAAGGGGGAAATGTAGCAGGTCAAGTGAAAAGAGAAGTTAACTAAAAGAGGATGTTCTGCCAAGAACAGACGGGGGCCTGCAAGCGGGCCACGTCAGAACAAAGTCTTGCACGCAAGATTTATTGTTCAGAGGCAGAATTTTCCTTGAGGTGATGAATAGGTCATGAGGGCACGGAAAGTACTAGGGAGGGTACACAGCTGCAGGTTGAAGGGATCTTTGAACAATATAAGAAATTAATAGTTTAATGTATAACTTAGCTCAGATGATCTCATAGGCATGCCTGTTTGTCAGTGTTACTTGCTGTACTCCCCAATAAAAGCCATGAGAACTTTGGAGGATTTGCTACTTGCCTGAGCGAGCAGTAGCCCTCTGTCTCTGAAACTCATCCTGCACGCCGAGCTCATCTCAGCGTCACCGTTCACCTGCAGACCACCTGCAGCGTCCGAAACCTGTGCACTTGGTACAAATGCACGGGAAATGGAGCGATGGAAGGGCCGCCCCTGCCCCCAGCACAGGTGCATCCTTGGAGGTCACCCCAGGTGAGAGCAGGGAGGCCTGGGACTGCCGGCACCTGTTTGCTCTGTGCTCATGCACACACACTCACATGCACACGCAGCAGCACGTGTTTACAAAACACACATGGGCCCAGTTATTTATGGAGCACCTACTGTGTGCAGGCACTGCCAGGGACCTGGGGTAAAGCAGAAAACAAGAGAGCAAAAGTCTCCCCTGAAGCCACAGGACAGACACACAGAGGAAGTGGGATTGGGGGGGCAGGCTGCAGATTTCAATGGGGGCTGGGGCAGGGGGGAGGGGGCTTGGGGAAGAGACAGCTCAGCAAAGGCTGGAGGAGGGGAGGGGGCAGCTGTGCTGCCTTGAGGACAGGTGTGTTCCAAGCATAGGAACAGCCAGTGTCCCTGGGATCAGAGCAGGTCAGTGTGTCCCAGGAAGGACAGGGAGGCCATTGGACTGGGGGGAGGGGCTGCAGGAGAGGAGGTCAGAGGACACTGCAGGGGCATTGGGGCAAGACTTGTGGCTTTTCCTCTAAGAGGATGGCGGGGAACGGGGGAGGGAAACACCTCCCTGGCAGGCTCATCCCAAGCAGCCAGCAGGTCTCCTGGGAACAGATGTGGGGAATGTGGAAGGGAAGGAGGGAAGTCAGTGCTGGGGGTTGGGCTCGAGGTGCTGGAGGGATGAGTTGCCTGGCTCAGGGCAGGTGGGAAGCCTGAGATGTGGGTTTGGGGGTATATATGAACTGGGCTTCAGAAACGGACACGGAGAGGCTTGTCAGATACCCTGGTGGGGAGGCCACCAGCTGCTGTTTAGGTGACAGGTCCAAGACAAAAGGACCTGGTGCTGCCAGTGTATGGGAACCCACAGGGCAGGGTGGGGTTGCCACAGGCAGGGCCCAGTCACCACAGGGCAGGGTGGGGTCCCCACAGGCAGGGCCCAGTCACCACAGGGCAGGGTGGGGTTGCCACAGGGCAGAACAACAGCCCAGGGAGTAGGAGGCATCAGCTGAGGTCAGATGCCGGATGCTGGGCCAGTCAGCAAGTGAGTGCCACTTGCCTAGGTTATGACACACTCAGGCACAGCTGGCCACCTTTGCAGGGAACTCCTCACTCACCCCTGTGCCTGTGGTTCCACTTCCATGCAGCATCCTCTGAAACACCCCCACCGCAGAGTTTAGCCACAGTTCTCATTCTCAAGGGGGAAGGGGAACCTCAAATTCTCTCCAAGAAATGAAATAGAAATTTCTAAAAAAGTGACAGGTGCCTCCAGTAAAAGCCCGACAAAGCTATTCTCAGGGAAGTGCTTCCAGATGTTACAGAGTAGAAAAATTTTTTAGGCCTGCTTAATTACCTACCCACCTCAGCAGCTTGACAGCCTGTGCAAAGTTTCTAGGAACTGAGCTCACACACCTGAGCAACGGCCTACAAAGAACAAACAGATCAAAATTAAGAATAGTCCTGACCTTTAAGTTACCCAGAAATGAATAACAGGAGGATGATGAATAGCTTGGCTAAAACTACGCAATTAGCTCTTGTAACTTGGCTTTGCTTGCTATGGGAACCTGAACACGGATGTAGTTGTCCCCTTTAAATACTGGACTCTGCAGATGGTCGGAGCCGCTTCTCTCTTGGGCTTCCCGAGTGGAGGAGCGGACACTGGCCCGTCAATAAAGGCTCTAAATTTTAATCAGTCTGGAGTTCTGGTCACTCCACAACATTTGGAGGCCCCCAGCGAGATAACTGGCCATTGACCGGTCCCGTGACCAGAGTCCAGGGAAGACATCCAAACTCCCGGCCCTAGGGGGAGATCTCTGAGAGACGTTCCTCAGCCCGGGACCAATAGAGTTTGGCAGGTCTGTCCGAAAATTGTCTAATTGACTTCAGTTGGAGCCATCTGGATCTAATTCTTACCAGTAAGAAAACTCAATTCTTTTGAGTCCTGATTCTGGTTCTGTGGGCCCGTCCGAGGTCTCCGGAAGGCTGGACGCAGCACTACTACCGTTGAGACCAGATCCCGGTGCACGCCGGTGCCCGGTGATCCTGAGTCTGGTTGTTATTTGTCTTGTCTGTGTCTGTTGTTGCGTCCAATTTGTTTTTGTTGTCAGAATGGGTCAATCAGCTTCCTGTACTGTCTGTACCCCCTTCAATGTTTTTTGAAAAATTTTCAGGACTTCAAGCGAAGAGCCGAGGGCTACGGAGCCCCTGTTAAGGCTTTTGATTTACAGAAATTCTATGAGCGTGAATGGTCAAAGTTCCCACAGATCAAGTGACCTCCTGAGGGGTTGACCAATTTGGGTTTAGTCTATTAGGTCCAGGCTATAATTTTTGGAAACCCCGGGCACCCAGACCAAATTTGGATAGATGTCTTAACGGAAAACCCTAAATGGCTCCGGGATTGCCAAAACCCTTCAGAAAAGAAAAAGAAATTGGGACAGAGACCGACTGTCCTCCTCACTTCACCTCCCAGGGAGGCTGAGAGGAAGCCCCTTGTTCTCCCACCTCTGCCGGACGACCCCATTCTGGCAGAGCCACCCCCTTATCTGTCAGCCCCGATGGCGGCTCCCCCTGAGGATCCTCTGAGTCCATCTTATACCCGCTGTGGGGCAGAGTACCGACCCCCACATTCAGCCCCCTCTCCGGACTCCTCTGGAGCCCTGATGTTGGCTTTGTGCCAGGTGGCCGCCCCCAAGGGGGGCGGGGATGGCCTTTTATGGTTTACGTCCCTTTTCGACCAATGACCTCTATAACTGGAAGAATCAGAATCCCTCTTTCTCTCAGAATCCACAGGGATTAATCTCCCTCTTGGAGTCTGTCTTTTTCACCCACCAGCCCACTAGGGAAGATTGCCAACAGCTCCTCCAGACCCTTTTCACCTTGGAGCAGAGAGAGCGAGTCAGGTCAGAGGGAAGGAAATTGGTTCTTGGCCCCGACAGCCAACCCTCTTCGGAGTCAGCACGGCTTGGCTCGAGGCTATCTTCCCACTCTCCTGCCCCTCGTGGGACCTCAACACGGAGCGAGGTAAGGAGGCTCTCGATCAGTATCACCAGACTCTGCCGAGGGGAATCCGAGAGACTGCGTGGAAACACACCAATTTGTCTAAGGTAACTGAAGCTGTACAGGGACCGAGTGAATCTCCCGCCGCTTTTCTAGAGCTCCTGTGTGAGGCCTACAGGCTCTACACACCCATAGATCCTGATGAGCCTGAGAATTGGCGGGCAGTTAACATCGCTTTCGTGTCCCAGTCGGCCCCAGACATTAGAAAGAAATTACAAAAGTTAGAAGGCTTTGAGGGAAAAGTGCTGCCAGAATTGGTTGAGGTTGCTCAAAAGGCATTTAACAATAGAGAAGATTCAGAGACTGTGCAGACTCAGAAAATGGCAAAGGTCCTGGTAACTGCCATGTAAGAGGACCAACCTGGGGCCGGGACAGTGACCCACTCATTCTTTGTGATGCCGGAGTGCCCGTACCCGCTACTGGGACAGGACCTTCTCAGCAAACTGCAGGCTACCATCTCCTTCCAGGAGGAGACAGCTACAGTGACTTTTAATCAGAGACCGGGGGCTGTGCTTTTGACTTGCCCCTTGAGAGAGGAATATCTCCTCACTGAAGGAACCGAGAACAACAACTCGGTCCCAGATGCCCCATTACTCCAAGAGCTGCAACAGAAAATACCTGGAGTATGGGCAGAGAGTAACCCCCCAGGACTGGCGGTCCACAGAGCCCCAACTGTGGTACAACTCTCCAGCACAGCAATGCCAGTACGGGTTTAGCAATATGCAATAAGCCAAAAGGCCCGAAGAGGCATCGCAGTCCACATGAAAAGACTGAGAAAAGCAGGAATCTTAGTCCCTTGCCACTCCCTGTGGAATACCCCATTGCTTCCTGTACAGAAACCAGGAATGGAGGACTTCAGACCTGTTCAGGACTTAAGAGAGGTCAATAAGAGGGTAGAAACTATACATCCCACGGTGCCTAATCCATGTACCCTCCTGAGCCTGTTACCTGCACCGGGGGAAAGACAGAAACTAAACTGGACTGAAACTGAAACTAAGGCTTTTCAAGATCTTAATACGGTGTCGGGTGAATTTCCCGCCAAAATATAAGATGGCGCGTTAAAATGCCTATATCTTTTGAAGTATGGGTTCGATTGAAATGAAATATTTGGTAATACACAGTTACAATCGGCCCGAGTTTACACGTTTCCCGCACTCCACCACAAATCTATATGAACCGAGTTTTAAGACGGCTCCCGCGGAGTACGCGCAATTCACGCGAGCCGACTTAACTCGTTTCCCGCAACCCAAGTCTTAAACAAGCCTTAGTCAGCACACCAACGTTAGCGCTGCCAGACCTCACAAAGCCATTTCAGTTACATGTGGCAGAGGCTTGGGGAATCGCAAAGGGGGTGTTAACCCAACCCCTGGGACCATGGAAAAGGCCTGTGGCATACTTATCCAAGTGGCTAGACCCTGTGGCTGTAGGGTGGCCAGGGTGTTTGAGAGCAGTAACAGCTATAGCTATATTGGTAAAGGAAGCCTCAAAACTCACCCTCGGGCAGGACTTGCAAGTAGTAGTTCCACATTCCATGGAGGCACTGTTGCAAAGCCCACCAGAGCACTGGCTCTCAAATACTTGGATCACCCAGTATCAGGTACTCTTGCTTGATCCCCCGCGAGTCAGTTTTCTCAAAATGGCGGCATTAAACCCTGCTACCTTGTTGCCTGATGACAACCCTGAGCAGCCCCTCCATGACTGCACTGAAACCCTATCCTCACTCAAGAACCTTCGAGAGGACCTGACAGATCAGCCCCTGCCAGACCCTGACGAGAACCTGTATACACTGATGGAAGCAGCTTTGTGGTCGACGGGACCA